CAGCCTGCAGAGCTCCCCCAGCCTGGACGACGATAGCCTGGGCAGTGCCAACAGCCTGCAGGAGCGCAGCTGCGGGGAGGAGCTGCCCTGGGACGAGCTGGACTTGGGCCTCGATGAGGACCTGGAGCCCGAGACGAGCCCGCTGGAGACCTTCCTGGCCTCCCTGCACATGGAGGACTTCGCCTCCCTCCTGCGGCAGGAGAAGATCGACCTGGAAGCCCTGATGCTGTGCTCAGACCTGGACCTCCGCAGCATCAGCGTCCCCCTGGGGTCCCGCAAGAAGATCCTGGGGGCCGTGCGGAGGCGGAGGCAGGCGCTGGAGCGCCCACCGGCCCTGGAGGACACGGAGCTGTGAGTGCCCGCCCCCCCAATGGGCGGGGAGACAGGGGTTGGAGGAGGAGGGGATCTGCTTTTCCCGGAAGTGAGGGGTAGTCCCCATCCATCACATGAGGCCCCACTTATTTTCTTTAACCCCCCACCCCCCCGTTCAGAAAAAGAGGCTGCCAATTGGTGAAGACTTTCACCCAGGCTTTCTTATCACAGCGAATGTAAAGTGCACCTCGGTTGTGGGCTTATCAGAATTTGGGGAAGTGGGTGTCTTAGTCTGGACAGACATGGTGGTCACAGTCATCGCCGCCGGGATGTTTGGAGCCCTCCCAAGTCCCAGCTCCTTGCACTTGTCCTTTCATTAAATCCTCCCAGCTCCCCAGCGCGGGGCTAGATCACCCCCACTTTCTAGTGAGCAAGTGGGGGCTCAGAGGGTTTGGGTAGCTCACCCCGAGGGCCTGCTGCTGCTCGGGGCAGAGCTGGGCTGGCTCCCTGTCTATGTGACTCTAAAGCCCGGGGACTAGGTGACTCCCAGGAAGAGCAGCGTTGTCACCTGCGTTCGGGAAGCCACGGGGAGCTCAGAGCTGCTGCCACACTGGCCGAGCCGTGGCCCATCCCTGCCCCGACCCCTCCCTCATGGCAAACCACAAGCCCTTTTCGTATCTCCGGCCTTTACCCTACATGTGTGGGCAGGGGTGGATGTGGGGAGGCAGTGTGGTTTAGAGTTTGGGGTGTGGGGTGGGCACCCCTAGGCAAGTGTCCCCATTCCTGACCATCAGCCTGCCCAATGGTAAGTTGTCCAAATGGCTAGTCTTGGTTGAACCCGTCTCAGAGGCTCTTCTCTGAGGCCCGTTTCTGTCTCTTTCTCTACAGATAACAGGGGCCTCTCTCCCAGACCAAAGTGAATTGCAAGTTGCCACAACCCACGGTGGGGCCAGGAAGTCTCCACAGTTGCCAGCCCTGCAGCCCCGGCCCCTCCCCAGGGGCAAGGACTCAGAAGCAGAGGGTATGGCCTGGAGGTGCCCAGAAGGGTCCTGGAGCCCTTGAGCCACCCCCATTGGAGTGGCCCTAAAGGACATGTGGATTTGCAGGAGGCCCGGGCACTAGACTAGTGCTCATGAGAGCGGCTGGGAGTGGGTGTGTGAGGGGTGGGCGCAGCCTGTCCCAGGGGCCGCTGTCCCTCCCATCCCTCCTCCGGGGATCCCGTTGCTCAGGCTGGACACTTGCTCATGTCCTGCATTTCTGGGAAGAGAAGAGTTTGGGCTGCCTCGCCTCACACTCCAGAGAGGTCCTGGCTCGACTCTTCAGCCAAATGCCCTGACCTCAGTCCCCACCCCTGCCCCTAGCACAGCCAGCCCCCTCTCCTTCTCCCACCGGCCATGCTGGGGAGTTGGAGTGCCAGGCTGGAGTGTGTGTGTGTGTGTGTGTGTGTGTGTGTGTGTGTGTGTGTATGGGGTGGGGGTGACTGGTGTCCTTCCCAGCTCACCCTGGGGTGGAGCCCCGCCTGACTCTGCCCTCCCTACCCTGTCCTCCTCCACCTCCCCTCTCCTTGGCTGTATAGCCTGGCCCCCCCCCAGGGACCCCAGAGGGTCAGGGCCACAGACGCAAGGTGCTAGAGTAACCGGCTGCAGTATTATGGCCCCGGGCCCGAGGCAGGTGGGGCTGGGCATGGCAGGGTGTCCAGCCTAGAGTGGGCAGGCCGTCATGCGGACACTGGAGCAGCCTGAGGAGGCGGATAAGCTCAGCTGCGGACTGTCCCCAGGGCTCTGTGTGCCTGTGTTGGGGGTTGGTTGGTGGATTTCCCTCAAGGCCTGGGAGCGGCTGGGCGGCCGCCTGTTCTGCATGAATAGTGGCTAAGCGAGAGCTCGTAGGAGAAAGGCCAACCCCAGAGGGTCCTCAGACAGGTGTCCTCGGAGCTCTTGGAGGTCACAGATGTGGGAGCCGCTCAGGGGCCCACCCACATGTGTGAGCACATGCCCACCCCCATGCAATGGACCCCATCCCCGACCTTCAGCTTGGAAGCAGCTTCTGCTGGGAGCACTGCCACAGCCCCCCCCCACACCCCTTCCCTGGCTGGGGCAGGGAAAGGGAACCCCCAAAGAATGCCACAGGCCTCCCTTTGGGTGTCTTGGGTGTGGGCCCTGTCCGGCCATGCCCAGAGCTGGGGTGTGATGGAGGTGGCCTGGTCCCGCCCGGAGGGCTGTGCCGCCTGCCACTGCCACCCTGAGCCCACCCCAGTCCTCCTCCCTGTTCTCGGCCTGAGCCTGGGGCCACCCCAAGTGCCGACTAGATTTCCTCGGGGCCCCAGGTGCTGCCCTTTCTCCCCTGTTCCTGGCTGCGCCCTGCCTTAGCCCCTCCTGTTCTCCTGTACTGGGGGAGGGGGGGGCGGGCTCTGTGACTCCCACCCTGTGCACAGCGCCCCTCCTGCAGGTTCATTATAACTTTGCAGAGTATGTTCTGCAGCATTGTCATGCCTGTGTCCTGCTCTTTAATCACGTGGGGGTGGGAGAGGGTTGGATGAAGTGGGCAAGGGGGTGGGGTGGGGGAGGGAGAGGGTCTTTTGTGCCTTTGAGGACTTGGTCCTATTCCTTGGAGGGAGTCTTGGGATGGGCGGTTGGGCACTCCTCCCTGGGCCTCTCCGCAGGGCCTCCCCTCATCCCCGGGCCTTCACCTGCTCCCTGGGCCCAGAATTTGGAGCTGATGGAGCGGGAGGGCTCAGAACTGGGATGAGCCCACTGGAGACCCCCAGCAGCTGAGTGGGGAGGCGGCCCAGGCGCCGGCCCTGTTCCCGGGGCCTGCAGCTGCTGAAGGTAGGACAATGCTTTCTCTCCCTCTCACCGGGGTCTGCCTGGGCTTCTCCAGACACGGGCAGAAGCCGCATACCAGCACACGGCCATCCGCCACCTGGGCCCCATCAGCCCTGAATCAAGGCCCCCGCCCACCCCTGGGAGGCCTCCCAGGCAGCTCTTGGGGCAGCCCTGTTTAGAACCCTCCTTTCTTCCAGCTTCCCCTTAAGCTGCAGGACAATGGGCTCTGTTTTCTCAGTCAAGTTTGGGAAAGGGCTCTGGAGTTTTGTTCTATTCCCTAAGGATGCTGGTCCAAGTGCTTCTGCCAAGGGGAGTTCAAGACAACCCCCTCCCTCCAGCATCCACCAGCAAGGTCCACAGGACCTCAGGGATGGAAGGTTGCCTAGCAACCATCTAGGGGTTCTAGGCCACCTCCCTCTACTTTTACGGATGAAAAAGCTGAGGCTTACCAAGAAGAAGGTCCAGACCCAGACACAGGCCTCCTTTCCTCACCCTGGGTCTGCCAAGAGGGCCAATAAGACCTGAGATTCTGCCTCCCATGCTCAACGGGGTTCATCAGCCCAGCGACCCCTACTGGCCAACCTGGTCACTGCACCTACCTCTGGAAACACCGGCCTGTCCGGGCGAAGCAGGTCCAGGGAAGGACATGGGGATGAAGACTCGCAACACTTTACAGATGAAAAAGCTGAGGCTTACCAAGAGGAAGGTCCAGACCCAGACACAGGCCTCCTTTGGGTCTGCCAAGGGGGCCAATAAGACGTGAGATTCTGCCTCCCATGCTCAACGGGGTTCATCAGCCCAGCGACCCCTACTGGCCAACCTGGTCACTGCACCTACCTCTGGAAAGACCGGCCTGTCCGGGCGAAGCAGGTCCAGGGAAGGACATGGGGATGAAGACTCGCAATGACAAGGGAGAGGATCAGAGCGTCAGCGCGGAGGCAGAGACTAACCCGGAGCAGTGGGGGCGGGGTCTCCAGAGGTCAATGCGGCTGAGGGTGGAAGCCTGGGGCGAAGAGCTGGTGGCTCCAGAAGTCTGGGGGACACACAGAGTGAAGGGGAGAATTTTACACCAGACTCAACTTGTTCCACTCATTCCCCTAAAAGTTTAGATCGAGTTAGGGAGATTCTTTCTAAAAGGTTAGGATAACCAATGATTCTTAGCCGCCGGGGGTTACAATCTGATGATGATATGGACACTTCTCCTGGAAAATGCACACGGGGCGCGCACACACTCAAGTGCACTTTCATTCACAACTTCAGGCCCTTCACGGAGCCCCAAGAGGCCCAGGGGCCCAGGTTAAGAGCCTTAGTTACCCTGGGGTGCCCCGTATCATAAGGGATTACTGATGGAAGGAGATGAGGGGTGGGGAATGAATCAGAGGCAGGAAGGGCCTCCGGGTATGTGGCTCAAGTTCTCATTTTACAGACGAGGTTAACTGAGGCCAGAGGGCAAGGGACTGGCTGAAGGTCACAGAGCAGCCAAGTGGGCAAAGTGGTACCAGGTTTCCCGATGCCTTCCATGGTGCCAGCTGCCTCCTGTGCCCACGTTAGCCAGTCCTGGACAGCGTGACACTCGGGTTTATGGGAGGTGGCAAGACTCAGGAGGCGGCCAGATCTGGGCAGCAAAACCATCTCCGCCCCTTTCTAGCTTATGGCCTTGGATAAGTTACCCCACCTCTTGAGTCTGTTTTCTCAGCTGTAAAATAGGGATTACAATTAATTATAATAACAGTGTTAATCCCATAGGTCATTAGGGGGTGAAATGATAATGGGGCTAAAGCACTTAACACACAGCAGTTAATAATGATCATGCTTATTGGGGGCCTGAAACAGACCCATTGTTCCTGTGGTCCCGGCCCCACCCAGGTGGTGAGTCCTAGGCAGCCCCAGGGAGCAGTCTCCTGAGACTGAGCCCCTCCCCCACTAAACACCTAGAGGCATCCTCATCTGACCAGCAGGGGGCGATGACAACCCAGCCTGACCTGGTGGACAGGAACTTGGAGATGAGGAGGGTTCTCGGGCATTAGCCAGGCCTGGGCATCCCTGTGCCCATGGCAGAGAGAACTGACATGCTGGGTGGTCCCTAGACTCCCCTTTCAATGCTCCCCACACCGTCTACACAGCTTGGTCATACTTCAGAGCTGTGGGAGGAGTCCCCATGGCCCTGAACCTCAGCCCTACACACACACACACACACACACACACACACGGAAAACATGGG